AAAAAAAAAATACTTGAGGGGCACATCGGTGGCTCAGTCAGTTAGTTAAGTGTCCAGCTCTTGATCTCGGCTCAGGTCATGATTTCACAGTTGATGAGATCAAGCCCCGAGTTGGGCTCTGTGCTGACAGTGCAGATGGAGGCTGCTTGGGATTCTCTCTCTCTCTCCCTCTCTCTGCCCCTCCCCCTCCTTCACACACATCTCTCTCTCAAAAATAAACATTATTTTTAAATGTTTTATTTTTGAGAGAGACGGAGCATGAGCGGGGGAGGGGCAGAGAGAGGGAGACACAGAATCAGAAGCAGGCTCCAGGCTCTGAGCTGTCTGCACAGAGCCCGATGTGGGGCTTGAACTGGGGAACAGTGAGATCATGACCTGAGCCAAAGCCAGACAGCTAACCGACTGAGCCACCCAGGTGCCCCCCAAAATAAATTTTTTTAAAAAAGTATTTGAGGGGCACCTGGGTGACTCAGTCGGTTAAGCATTCAACTTCAGTTCAGGTCATGATCTCACAGTTCATGGGCTCGAGCCCCACATCGGGCTGTCTGGTCTCAACACAGAGCCTGCTTTGGATCCTCTGTCCCCTTGTCTCTCTCTGCTCCTCCCCTGCTCAGCTTTCTCTCTCTTTCTCTCTCTCTCTCTCTCTCTCTCTCTCTCTCTCTCTCTCAAAAATAAGACATTTAAAAATTAAAAAAATAAAAATAAAATTTTAAAAAAGTACTTGGGAGATAAGGGAGCAGCAGCTTGGTGTGAGCTCTGCTCCACATTCCTCCACCTTTCCCTTCCCCCACCAGGCTATGAAGGTCCCAGGTCCCCTGTACACGCTTGATGGCACCACTTTGTCCTTCTCCCATGCCCCTTCTCCATTCTAGGAGGAATAAGGCATGTAAGGCCAGACCTTAGACCACCACCACCTTCTTCAGCACTGCTGGCTGACTGGGGGCAAGAGGCAGCATAGTGGCAAGTGCCCTGAACTTGTAGTCAGACAGACCTGAGTACTAGTCTTGGCTCCTCACTTACTAGCTGGATGTCCTAGGGCAAGTAACCTCTCCGAGCTTTCATTTCCTTATCCACAAAATGGAGACGGAGGAAATCCCTAATTTTGCAGGATTGTTGGGAGGACTCTGTTCACATATGTCAGAGAAATTTGTGCATGATAAAGTGCTTTGCCAAAGACGGGTGGAGCGCCTGGGTGGCTCAGTCGGTTGTGTCTGACTCTTGGTTTAGGCTCAGGTCATGATCCCAAGGTTCATGGGTTCGAGGCCTGTGTCAGTCTCTGACAGTGCAGAGCCAATCTGGATTCTCTCTCTCTCCCTCTCTCTCTCTCTCTCTCGCTCTCCCTTTGTCTTAAAATAAATAAATAAACTTAAAAAAAGGGGAGTGATGGTGGCCTCCAGGAAGGGGCCCTCCCTGCCTGGCAGAAGTGAGGAATGGGGGCTGGGGACGGGGCAGCTGAGGGACCCCTTTTGGACCAAACACTTCCCTCCCTCCTGCCTGCCATGGGGTGTCAGCGTTCCCAAGTGAGGGGTGGTGGGGAAGCCTGGGGCCAGAGATTCCCTGAACCCACCTTCGGAGAAGGTAGACGCATCAGTGCTAGACGCCACGCCAGCCAGCAGGTGTCGTCTCTCCCAGCTGGGTAACCTGTTTACATCTGAGAGAGTACAGAGTGGCAACAGCAGCAGCACCCCTTTCCTCCCACCAGCCATTCACTCTTCAAACATCTCCTGAGAAGCTCCACCAGCCCCCTGGAGATACAGAAATTAAAACAGGCACCCAACAGTCCCTGCTCTCAAGGGGCTGGGGGAGGGGTGAGGAGAAGAACGCCAATAAACATCCACCAATAAAATGACACAAATCAGGGTCTCCAATCCAGCCTGCTTTTCCTGAGCACACGGTCAATATCCTCTTGGGCGTTCCCCAAACCTCTTAGGCTGGCATGTCCCACACGAACCTATCATCATCTCCCTACCTTCCATGAACCATCTCTTGTCTCTTCCATTTCAGAGAGGAATAGGCATCCCAGCTAGGAATCTAAAGATCATTCTTTCCCTCACCTCCACACCACCTTGATGATCCGAGTCTCGCCATACCTACCTCTATGTTGGTTGAAACCTTCATTATCTCTAAGACAGCTGCAGGGGCCTCCTGCACTATAGTGGGCACTGGCCCACTATATTCCTTCTGTTTAACAGCATTCCACTGCCTTCAGGATGAGGTGCAAACTCCTTATCATGACATAACTGGCCCCCCAGGACCCAGCCCCTGGTTCCTTCCTCAGTCACAAGTTTCTCTCACCCATCCATCCTTCCTCCCACCCCTCCCTTCTCCATTCTTTCTCTCCTGCCTCCCACTCCCCAGAAACACCTGTTCACCTTGGAAAGAACAAAGCTAGCTATCCAAGTAGAATTGGTCACACATGTCTTATACCCTTTACCCTGCCATGGTACTTCATCAAGTTATTCCACAGCAACTTGAGAACAAACCCATATTTTATCTGCCTCTGAAAAGTGCTCAGTAAATACTGGGTTGGTCTTTTTTTTTTT